CATTCCTTTTTTGACAGAGAAAGAAACAAACCTCGAGAGATGAAGTGACTTGCTCATGACTGCTCATGGGCTATTGAGGCAGAGCCCTTGACCGCAGGGCTGCCTGCTGGTCACTTTAGTAGAAGGGATCTCGGGAGAGCTGGAGAGGCTCTGTCATGACACAGACATTGGAGTGGGGGTGGAGGGTGAGCCTGGTTTTCTGAGCAGGAGGCTGCGTGAGGCTATGACTTTCTTCACTCAACAGATCCTCGTTTCAAAGCTCTCCAGGTAACTGGAAGTTCATCCTCTCTGGCGTGCTGGTGGCCATCCTGCTGCTGCTGCTGCTGACCATTGTCCTGATCCTGTACCTCAGGAAAGCCCGAGGAAGAGCTGAGAAAGGTAAACCCACACTAGCTCTGGGAGGCTGGACAAGCGAGCCCTGGGGACAGGGCTTATTACCTCCATTCTGTCATCAAGGAAACTGGGGCGAGGTGACATGGCAGAATTCTCTGAGAAACTAAATTGACTCCCCTCCTACTTAGCCAGTGTGGCAAGTTCAGTGGCCCTGAGGATGGACTAACTCTCTTCAGAGGCTTGAGCTCACCTTAGCTAAAGCCAATATAGTGCAGCACCCATTTGCCTACAAATGGATATTCTAGGAGTCCCTGGGTGGTGCAAACGGTTAACACACTTGGCTACTAACAGAAAGGTTGGAGGTTTGATTCCACCCAGAGGCACCTTGGAAAAGTGGCCTGACAATCTGCTTCTGAAAAATCAGCCATTGAAAACACTATGGAGCACGGTTTTATTTTGACACACAAGGGGTCTCAATGAGTCAGAATTGACTCAATGGCAGCTGGTTGTAGTGAAAGCACTTTAAGGATTTTTTAATCTTCAAATGTTTAAGTTTTTAGCGTTTTTCACATGTAAAATCTGTAGCATGGTGTACAGAATTTATCATATTAATCCCTTTTGATGACTTCTGCTTTCATTTGTGCTGTTTTTTTGTTGGATGGTTGTTTGGTTGTTTGGTTTCGCATGTATATACTGTGTGTTTATTAACCACACAATCTGGTGATGTTCCTATGGCAACAAGGTGGAAATATGGGAGTAGGTCAGAATTATTTGAGACCTCACTGATTTCAATTTTTCAAACTATAAAAATCCCAAGGTAGTGGTAGATTATAAAATTTTATATACAGATTTTTGAAACTATGTAAAATCAAGTTTTGGGGGAAGGTCATAGTAATTTTTTTAAATAATGTTTTAATATTTTATTATGTTTTAGATGAAGTGACAAATTAGGTTCCCCTTTAACAATTTCTATACAAGAAGTTCTGTGCAATTGTTTGCAGTTTTTATAATTCTCAGTATTCTCCTTATTTCCATTGTTTTGTTTGTTTGTTTGTTTCTATCATTCTAGCTTTCCTTCCCATTCTTGTCTTCTCATCTTTGCTTTTGGGTAACTGTTGACTGTTAGGTCTCAAGTAGTCATTATTTAAGGAAAAACATCACTCACAGGTGATACACTTTATTTTGTAAACCAATCTATTGGCTGAAGGGTGACCCACAGAGATAGCTTCAATTCCCTATTCAAAGGTTGTCTTAGGGCAATAGTCTAGGGGATTCCTCTAGTCTCTTTCAGTCTAGTAGGTCTGGCCTTCTTAAGGAAATTGAGTTTGTTCTACATTTTTCTTACATTCTTTCAGAGACTTCCTATTATTTCCCTGGTCAGAGCAGTTGGTATTAAGAGTCGGGCACCACCTAGTTCTTCTGATCTCAGGTTTGAAGAGGTTGTAGTTTGTGTGGGCTATTAGTCCCGTGGATTGGTTTCTTCTTTGATCCTTTGATTTCTATCATCCTCTTTTGCTCCATATGAGTAGAGACCAACAATTGTATCTTAGATGGCCACTCAAAAGATTTTGAGACCCCAGGTCTACTCACTGAACTTGGATGTACAACATTCTCTTTATGAACTATATTATGCCAATTGACTAAGTTGTTTACCAAGACAATGGTCATGCTGGGCCCTTGAGCCACTGAACCAATCCTTCTAGTTGTTTGGATATGTCTAGAAAGCCTCTGTAACTGTGGCCATTATGAAGTTTGTTATATATGAGGATGGATATGCAGCACACACAAATGTGTATATACATATGCTTGGTGTAGTGGGTAAGGCATTTGGCTGCTAACAAGAAAGTCATGGTTCAAACCTACCCACTGCTCCCCATGAGGAAGATGAGGTAATCTACTTCCATAAAGATTTACAGCCTTGGAAATCCGATGACAGTAGCAATGAGTCAGAATCTACTCAATGGCAGTGGGTTTTATAGATAGTGTGGTAGTTACATTTGTGTGTCAACTTGGCTGGGCTTGGTTGAGTGGCTGGGCAGCTGGATGTAGTATTCCCCATGATGAGACTGGTAATTAACTCCATGGTGGAATCTACTATGAGCAGCTGAGTAGCTGCCTTAGGGTTGTGGTCTGCTTCCTGTATATAAGGAGAAGTCTTGGGGAATAGTCTCTAGCTTATGGCATGCTTGAACCTTGCATGTAGCTGAGTCATTGTTCAGCAGCCTGCCATGCTCTGCTGATCCTGGGACTTTCAGTGGATTTGAATCAATGCCTGCCATGTGGTTTGGTAGGTACCATTGGGACTATGCCATTTTATTTGTCAACCATTGGCTTGTTAGCCTCAGCAGCCACTAGCTGCCTGAGTGAAGAGATGCCTCTAGCTTCAGTGGGCCAGAAGCAAAAGGCAGAACTAAAGCCCAAAAGGTTGAGGGGCTTTCATCCAGCCCCTAGAGCCCGGCACTTTGAACTTGGACTTAAAGCCTCCAAATTGTAAGAATAAACTCCTGTTTGTTAAGGCCATCCCATTTGTGGCATATATTCTTTATATACAGAGTGGCACTAGGTAACCAAAACAGAATCTGGTACCGAGAGAGTGGGGTGCTGCTCTGATAGATACCTAAAATGTGGAAACAGGAGTTGAGTGCTTCTTTGACCCGAGACTCTGGCAGAGAGACCCTGGTATATGGCATGAAAGAAAGCAGGAGCAGAGCAGAGAGACTGGCATTAAATAGCAACAGGCTTACCAGCTCATGGAGGAGAAAGCTGGATGTCTTTGGGTAGGTGGCTTCCTGGCAGAGTGGGTTGCCTTCGGACATTAATTGGTAGAAGAGACCGGCTTGAAATGGAGTAACAGATTGGCCGGCCCATGAGCAAGAAAGCTGAGTGTGTTTAGTGCCGGAAGATACCCTGCAGAGTGGGTTGCCCTCAGTATTAACTGGCAGAAGCAGAGAGACAAGGAAACGGGAAGCAGAGCTGCCTCAGCCTCAAAGGGTAGGACCATGACCTCTGGGGGTGGAACCACAGTAGCCCCCTAGGTTTCAAAGAGTTAAACCTTCACCAACTTCTGGAGTGTGTGGTTGCTTGTTCATGTGAGGAGAGGAATGGGGCCCATCAGGCCAAGGGGGTGAGGTCGCCACTCCGGAACTAGGGGATTAGAGCCACCCAGTGAAGGATATCTGTATAGATGTCACCCATTGAAGATCTGTACAGGTGCCAAGTTGACAAGGGGTGGAATTGTGATAGTTTACATTTGTGTGTCAACTTGGCTGGGCCTGGTTGAGTGGCTGGGCAGCTGGGTATAGTATTCCCCATGATGAGTTGCATAGTACCTAAGGCACTTGACTGCTAACCAGAAGGCTGGCGGTTCAAATCCACCAGCCACTCCTCAGAAGGAAGGTTGGGCAATCTACTTCTGTAGGGATGTCGCCTTGGAAACCCAAAGAGGGGTTGCTATGAGTCGGTCTGACACGATAGTATACAACAACAATGACAACAGCATGGTGGAATCTACTGTGAGCAGCTGAGTAACTGCCTTAGGAATGTGGTCTGCTTCCTGTGTATAAGAAGTCTTGGGGAATGGTTTCTAGCTTATGGCACACTTGAACTCTGCATAGAGTCATATCGTTGTTTAGCAGCCTGCCATGCTCTGCCGATGCTGGGACTTTCAATAGGTTTGAATCAATGGCCTGCTATGTGATTTGATAACATTGGGACTGTGCCATTTTATTTGTCAACCTTGAGTTTGCGAGCCTCAACAGCCACTAGCTGCCTGAGTGAAGAGATGCCTCTACCTTCAATGGGCTGGAAGTAAGAGGCAGAGCTAAAGCCCAAAAGGTTGAGGGGCTTTCACACAACCCCTAGAGCCTGGCACTTTGAGCTTGGACTTAAAGCCTCCAAATTGTAAAAATAAACTCCTGTTTGTTAAGGACATTCCATTGTGGTATATTCTTGTCAGAGCGGCACTAAGTAACCAGAACAGACAGATAGAAAGATAAACAGATAAATAGATAGATGATAGATAGACCTAAGAAGCTCTGGTAGTATAGTGGTTAAAGCATTTGGCTGCTAACCAAAAGGTTAGTAGTTTGAACCCACTAGCCAGTCCGTACAAGAAAGACGAGGTAATCTGCTTCCATAAAGATTTATAGCCTTGGAAACCCAATGGGGGTTGCTCTGAGCTGAAATTGATTCTATGGCAATGAGTTTGGTTTTTGTGTTTTGATAGATACACCTATACATGCATGTGCATTTATTCATGTATGCCTTTCTATACACATCTACACATCTACTGATATTACCACACATACATTTTTTTGGTTTTATTTACTATTGTTGCAAAATTGTATATGCTACAGTATTTATTGTACTTATCCCTTTTTCTTGTGTTCCTTTGGTGTCTTTATTTACCTAGGTCATGTTGTGTTGACTTCATCTTTATTTGGTCTTGTCTTTCCTATCACCAAAAGTAACAAGTGTCTTCTATCTAGTTGGTAGGTCACAGTGGCATTTTTTAAAAACAAAATTGAATAGGGTAGAAATTGTCAAAGTGTCTGCACATTATAAAAGATAAGAATTTTTTAAACTTTTTTTTTAGGAATTTGTGTGTGAATGTGTATGTGAGTATTGTGTGTGTGCATATATGTGAGTGAATGTGTATGTGTGAGTTTGTACATGAATGTATATGTGTGTATGAATGTGTGTGTATAAGTGTGTGAGTGTTTGTGTATGTGTATAAGAGTGTGTAAGTATGTGTGTGGGGTAATGAGATAAAATGTGTTTCTCACTATGGTTCCTTGGCCAAAAATTTGAAAGACATTACTTTAGATAACCTCATCAGCAAATAGAGTATGCTTAAATTCGATGCTTTAATTTGGAATTTTCAGTGATCTGGAATTGGTTAATAAGTTTCCTGATTTTATGCAAATTAGCTGATTGTGGCCAGTTTGTTCCGCTCCTTACATTTCTGGACACTCATCTATGCTGGGCACCTGTGATATCCCCTAAAGGAAATTATCCCCTGGTCAAGCCTTGGAGTCTTCCCCATCAGGGTCTTTTCTGCCCAGTCAGGACCTCCAGCTTCTCCTCTTTATTTCTATGGAGGGTACATAGGGAGACATCACTCCTTCAACCTTGACTGTTTCCTTTGCAGGTGAGGATGAATCACACCATATCTATGATGACGTCTCAGTCCAAAAGGAGAAAACCACTGTGAGTAGGAATGATCCTCACCTGGGCGCAGGGGATCCAGCTTCTGTGCACCTTTTTTTTTTTTTTTTTTAATTTCTCAGCTTTTGCTTACTCATAGTTTTTCTTTATTCTGAACCTTGCACTCACTCATGGCTCCTCATGCCCATGCTGCCTCATGGCCTACCTGTGTGCATCCTATCCCTGTAGTTTCCAATTTGAATTCCTAAGAGATAGAGAGAGAGAGAGAGAGAGAGAGAGAGAGAGAGAGAAGTTGACTGATTCAGCCTTTCACCTTCATTCCCACAGGTGACAGGCCCATTTCATAAGTCATGAAATGGACTGACTGTCATTGGTCCCATGAGCTGTGGAGAAGGGTGTCCCATGGCAAAGAACATGGTTCCCTAGGATGTTCTCCCAGTAGGGTGTTCTCTCAGTAGGGTCTGAGCAGTTTCCCTGGGGTAGGTCTGTCTAGTCTAAAGATCTCTCAGCACTGAGACTCTCAGAATTATAGAATTGCAGGATTGGGAGGACCTAATGTCATCTGGTCCAGCCCTTGTGTAATGCAGAAATCACCTCTACAAATAATATCCCTACCATTCCTACCATCTAGCTCAGTGCTTCTTAAGCTTGAGCTTCTCAGTGCTTTACAAAAATCACCTGAAGAGTTTATTGAAACACAGTTTCCTGGCCCCACAATCAGAGATATTTGCTTTAGTAAGTCTAGGGTGAAGCCTAAGATTGTGCATTTTTAACAAACTCCCAGGTGCTGCTGGTGCTGTTAGTCCATGAGCCATACTTTGCAGCCCTGCCTAGCCTCTTGTCAAATATGTTCAGTGATGGTGACTTCACTACTTTCAGAAGCAACCCTTCCTAGTCATTTCCTAAGGCTCAGCAGGATCAATACCTTGTCCCATATTTCACTGACAACCCTCCCCTAGTGGACCTCTAGCCAATGCCAGCTGTGATGTGTACAATGAACATCTGTCTTTTCTGATTCCCAGGGCTTTGACCAACAAATAGGCTCTGATGAGGGCACTGGGGGCATCCATTATGCCTCACTTATCCACCTAAACAGCTTTGGCACTGAGGACTCCACCTATACCAACACCCACACCAAATGGAAGCCCATGCCTGACTCCCTTCTGTTTGTGGAATATGTCACCATTGCTGGAAACAAACACCAGCCCTCCAAGTCAACTGCCCTAGAGGAGAGTCTCAGGAACTGAGGGCAGACTTCACTGGACAGGGAGAACTTATCAAATGTCAACAAGGTACAAAGCTGCTCTACCAGTGATGGGGTGATGTCAGTATGTGTTATGGAGTGGATTGTTTCCCTCAAAAATATGTGTGAACTTGACTGGGACTTGTTTCCCAGTTCTGTGTAAAATTATTCTCCATTTTGTGATCTGATATACTTATCCTGTGTGTTGCAAACAAACAAACAAACAAAAAAACAGGTGTCATATGACACTGGGCAAATCTGCTGCAAAAGACCTCTTTAAAGTGCAGAAGAGCAAAGATGTCTCTTTGAAGACTAAGGTGTGCCTAACCCAAGCCATAGTATTTTCAGTTGCCTCATATGTGTGTGAAAGCTGGGCAATGAATAAGGAAGACCAAAGAAGAGTTGATGCCTTTGAGTTGTGGTGTTGAAGAATACTGAAAGTACCGTGGACTGCCAGAAGAATGAACAGATTTGTTCTGGAAGAAGTGCAGCTGGAATGCTCCTTGGAAGCAAGAATTGTCAGATTTTGTTTCACATACATTGGTCATGTTGTCAGAAGGGACCAGTCTCTAGAGAAGGATATCATGCTTGGTAAAATGGAGGGTCAGCAAAAAAAGGGAGAGACCCTCAATGAGATAGGTTGACACAGTGGCTGCAACAATGGGCGTAGGTATAGCAAGCATTGTGAGGCTGGTGCAAGAGCAGGTAGTATTTCATTCTGTTGTATATAGGGTCACTATGAGTAGGAGCTGACTTGACGGCATCTAACAACAACAACATGTGTTGTAAATCCTCACCTCTATGATGTTAATGAGGCAGGATTAGAGACAGGTTTGTTAATGGGCCAGGACACAACCTACAGGATTAAGTTGTATTTTGAGTCAATCTCTATTGAGATATAAAAGAGAGTAAATAAGAGAGCAGGTATAAGAGGGACTGGCCTACTACTAAGAAAGAAGAGCTGGGAGCAGGGCATATCCTTTGGAACTGAGGTCCCTGCACTGAGTAGCTCCTACACCCAGAAGAAGACTGATGATAAGACACATAGAGATCTCCAAGGAACACCGGGCCCACAGATGTTGAAAGGAGACAAGACCTTCCCCTACAGCCTACAGACAGAAAAAGTCTTCCCCTAGATTTGGCTCCCTGAATTTGGACTTTTAGCTTCCTAAACTGTGGAGAATGAATTTATGTTTGGTAAGCCATGCACTTGTGGTATTTCTGTTATAGCAGCACTAGATGACTAAGATAGTGTGCCAATATCATGATAGATTACTAAGGGGCCATCCCTCCCCTGCAAGGGAGGCGAGATTGGGGAAAGTTCTTCCCATCCTTGGGGACAGAGGTTTGAGTCTGAGGATTACAATGGGCAAGTTATGGGGATAATAAAGGAAGTTTCTGAGTGCCTGCCTTCTCCCTTCTCTAGAGTCCGGAGGGGGTACTACTAGGACTGAACCCAATTAGACAGGGCTCTGGGAGCAGTGCTCTGAAGAAGTCAATCCTCACCTCTTCTGAAACCATCACTTCCTTCCTGACAGGAGCTATGAAATTCTGACAAATTGTGCAAGTTCCTCTAGTGATGACTCTCTCTTTGTGAGCCCCCTCCTTTAACTGTCCTCTCAGGGCCTCCAAGTCAGACTGGAAAGCTCAGAAACCCTTCCTTCTTCCTCTCCCTCCTCTCTTTGCTGGCCTCTACACTCTAACTCCCTATCTGTTCATAGAATTCTCACTTCTCTGCCAGGAGGAAAGATGGAAGGTGGGCAGTGCTCCCACTGCTCAGGACCCCCCCCCCCAGCCCTTGGCCTTACTAGGGTCAGTGATCGGTATCCCTCCCCATCATTACTCATGGACCCCCAGTCATAACTGATGTTGGCATCTCTGTCTTCCACAAAGATCTTTGGCAAATTTGCCAACTGCATCTCAGTCAAGCAAAGTGGGCTGGGAGAGGCCTCCTGCTTACCTAAGTATATTCCACAGGGACCTTCTGGAGATAGGGTCCATTTTTATCTTGTGCCTCAAAGGAGTGACTCTGAACTCCAGCAAACTTGGGTCAAGTGGGCAGAAGGATAGTGTCCTCTATATTGTAGGAGGAGATTGCTTGAAATTGTAGATTTATTCCTTCACAAGGTTGATGTTAAAGGTCATTGGATCTAACTGTCAGCAGGATGCCAGAAACCTCCTTCCCTACAAAATCCCAACAAGGGCTCATGCAGTTTCTGCTTCAATATCTCTGAGGACAGAGAAATTATCATCTACCACCCAGGCAGCTTTTCATTCATGTTTGGTCAGACAAGACCTTGCTTGCCCTCAGGTCAGACAATGAGACTTAGCAGTGTCTTTGGGATGGGAACTGAAGTTCAGGCTGGGTCATAGTCAAAAGGGAATAGGGGGCTTGGAGAAGAAATTAATGGCTAGTTTGAGGTCTGGTAAGATGGTCTGTGAGGGTAAGGAAGTCTTCTGGGAGGAAGGTGATGTAAACCTTCCTGATGCTGTAACATTTCTCTGCCATTCTTCATCTTCCAGGTTTCCAGTGTTGGGGGTAGGTTTCTGTCCCCAGCCTGCATCATGATGGGGCATAAATTGTGCAGAACTACAGGGTCAGGAACTCAGAGAGTTGAAGGAGATGGGAACAGGGAGGGGAGCAGGATGCTATGGGTGTCACTTTGGATGCTCAGGGCTCTGCTGGCCACCTTCTCCTGCAACCCAGATCTGATTGTTAGAGGGCAGGCAATTCCTGTAGCCTGACCTCCTGCCTGATCTGACTTTGCTTGCTTGGAGAAGAAGGTCATTAGCATTAACCTCAGCCTCATCTGACCTCTGGTCCTTCCCAGTGTGAGGCTCCTGAAAGCAGATTTTAGTCGACATACTCACTGAGGGAGTCCATCTTCACATGTTCTCACCACATTCGGTTTCCCACCTGCCTTGCTCTGGCTCCAGGATCAGGAGCCACTTGAGTGTCATGAGCTGTCAAGACCCAAAGGTCTTAGACTAGAGCTCCTAGATTTGTGGCTGATCTGCATTCAATGGACTAGTAGTTATGGGTGCCTGTGAACCACCAGGCACTGTGCACAGGGTGGCAGATGATATAAAAGTTAATTATGGTAAGTTTACATTTATGGTAGTTGGCTTTTTATGTGCCAAATACCTCTTCATGTATTAATGGCACAATCATCCTTATGAGGTAAGTACTTCCTGCATCTTCAAACCAAAACCAAACTCACTGTCATCGAGTCAGATCTGACTCATAGCGACCCCTCCTTGGGTTCTCGAGGCAGTATCACTACTGAAGTAGATTGCCCAACCTTCCTTGGTTTGAACGGCCAGCCTTCTGGTTAGCAGTCAAGTGCCTTAGGCACTATGCTACCAGATGGGAGATACATTCTTTTTTTTTTTTTTAATTTTATTTTGATTTGGGTGAAGATTTACAGAGCAAATTCACTTTTCATACAACAGTTCACATATACTTTGTCTCATGTCATTGACCACAATTTACCACAATGCAACAGCTCCCCTCCCATTTCCTCCCCATAGTTACCTCTTCCCAGTGTCCATCCCTCCATACTTTCCTGCGCCCTGAGCTGTCTCCCTGTGCATAAGCAGCCCTTCCTTCTCCCATGATTGTTCTCTCCAGGGCGTGTGTCTACTTGAGGTAAATGTTTAACTCACATGCCTGTACTTTGTTTGGCTGGAAACCACAGGTGTGGGTTCAATTCCAGACCTGAAGGGCAGCTAGGGGCCATAGTCTCAGTGGTTCCACCAGGCTCTATTGAACAAGCAAACCTGGTCCCCACCTTTTTTTTTTGCCTCCAAATAATTTTGAGTTTTGTTCCACATTGTTCTCCCTCTCTGTGCAGGATCTCCTACATCCCTTCCAAGTGGATGACAGTGGTAGCTGGGCACCATCTAGTTCTTCTGGTCTCATAGTTGTATAGGTTGCAGATCAGATGGTGTACCAGTCACTAGGACGGATTGTTTCCATTAGTTTTGTTTTTCTTCTTTCTTCTTGACGAAGAGAGACCCATCGTTGCATCTAGATGGCAGCTTGCTAGCTTTTAAGATTCCAGTCACTACTCGCCAAAGTAGGAGGTGGAACAATGTTTTGTATAGTATGTTATGCCAATTGAGCTTGATGTCCCCTGCGACTATGGTCCCAAGCCCTCAGGTTCAACTACTCGGTCCCTCTGGCTAGCTGGCTGTGACCAAGCAGTGACCACAACATTGCCCCTTGTCAGCTCTACTATATACCTGGGAATTCTGATCATTCACATAAACTTATAGGACCATTTTCTGCCAACCCTATATATGATCTTGGATACACTCCCCATTTAGACATACCTAATTGTTTAGCCTGTCCACCTATCTATCCATCCATATACCCATGTTTGCCTTCACTGACAACTCACTACTGTATATGCAAAAGGGTTCATTTTTGTTGTCTGTACTTCCCATGTACCTCTCTATGTCTTTCTCATCCTCAATGCTGCCATATTGGTCACTCACATTTGGTACATTGCCCTTCTCTTCACCCAAATCAATACTTATCTCTATCTATTTAACAGCGTTTCCTCCCCTCCCCTCCCACCCCTGGTAACCAACAAAGAAAATTTCCTCCAATAGATAAACCTTTCCTTAATTTTTACAATAACGAACTAATACAATATTTGTCCTTTTGTGATTGACTTATTTCACTCAGCATAATGTCCTCCAAGTTCATCCATGTTATGCGGTGTTTTGCAGATTCTACATTATTCTTTAGTGTTGCATAGTATTCCATTGTGTGTATGTACCATAGTTTGGTTATCCATTCCTCAGTTGATGGATATCTAGGTTGTTTCCATGTTTTGGCTATTGTAAATAGTGCTGCAATGAACATGGGCGTGCATATATCTGTTCTTGTCATGGCTCTCACTTCTTTAGGGTATATACCTAGTAATGGGATGGCTGGGTCAAATGATATTTCTAATTCCAATTTTTGAAGGAATCACCATACTGCTTTCCACAATG